TGTTTTAAAACGTTTTTAACAGTTTGGGTGATTTTGAGTTCAAAATTTGCATCTAATAAAATTATCACATTGAAATTGTTTCATATTATTTTTAAATAAACGTACTATGTGTTGTATTATTCTCACTATAATTGATATATTGATTCTGATATTAAAAAATATTGAAATAATAATAAAAATAAAGGATAAGCAATGATTAAAAATGAAAAAACCAATCGAATATTTATTATCCCTGTTTTCTTCTTTCAGATGATTCTATAGAAGAAGAACAGAAAAAACCTATATTTTTTATTAGACAAGATAACAATAAAGATATTTTGACAAAAATAACGAATTCTGAGGAAAATCAATTGGTTGATGATGTCGTATCTGATTTTAATCAAGAAAATATTCAAAAAGAACGCCGACATTTTTCATCAAAATCTTTATCGTCTATCCTTTTACAACCTTACGATGCGGTAATTATCAAATAAAAATTCATATTCAGAATAGTTTGAACAAAATGACAATACAGTTAAATTCATTAGAAAGTTTTTCAGTTTAACATTGAATTACCATAAATAATCCTTCCTAATTTTTGTTTTCATTTAACACTAGATATGCCACCATTTTTAGTATACTTATTTCTACCACACTAGTCAAAATGACTACTGGTGTATACAAAAAAATGCTTTTTGAGGCTTCCAGTTTTTAACAAATATTTAACAATAATAATTTTAATAGATATATGATAGATTTATAGACATTTTTCAATAAGAAAACGGCTTAATTATTTACAGAAATCAAATGAAGTACAATAAACATTTGGAATTAAAATGGCCGGACCAGTCAAAATGACTGATTTGGTATATCTAACGTTAATAATGATCAAAATGACAAGGACGAATGAATACGATGATTAAATTATTTCTACTTGCTTTTCACGTAATCGCTTGTTCACATCTATCCATTCCTAGGATGAGATTGTCCTTCGGACAATATGTACTTCATTTGAACAATCTTATATCAAAGACATATACTACAATTTCTCGTAGTAGTTAATTTTACATGTCCATTATAACCATCGATGTAATCACCTTTGATGGGAATTACGTGATGTAAGGCTTTGCAAATATTTATTTGTAAAATCGATTAACTTGACGAAATGAAATGTAAGCAAAACAAAACAAAAAATTAATCATTATTTATTACTTATTTATTTATTTATTTATTTTACTTATTTATCATTAAATATTTATTGTTTGGTTTTTTTTCTTTTTTTTTTTTTGTAATTTTTTGTAATTGTTAAATTGTATTGTGTGTTTTTTCTGTCTTTATTATATTTTTTGTTTGAATTAATTTTGAACAATTTTTCAAGAATTTATTTCTAATGTAATATTCAAAATGAAAATGAAAAAGATTATTAAGCACAAAGTTAATCGTTTTTAATTGCGCATATGAGGGATCATATGTCTACAAAAAATAATCTAAAAATATCTGATAATAATCCAAATGACGCAAATAAATAAATTTTGCATTGGCATGAATTTCATTGAATGCAGTTTATTTATAACACGTATATGCACAAAATATTACATTCGTAAGCTTGTTTTTTTTTTCTTTTTTTTTTTTTTCTTTATGTGTCGCGCCTCTTTCAATATCGTTTCTCTCGCCTAACTTTTTCTCCTTTTTTGCCTTCCATCTACAAAATTAAATTAAATGAAAAAAAAAAAAGAAAAAATAAGTAACAAGATAAAAATCAATGAAAAGGAAAAAAGTTACAAAAAAAAAAAACAAAACAAAAAAAAAATAACAAATTTTTCTATTATATTTTGTAGGTGGAAAAGAATGATTTGAAATATGAAATGACCATAGAAGAAGAATTGTACGATTTTTTAAACAATTTTAACGATCGACTGCCAAGATCATTTACACAAGTCGAACGGAAAAAAATACTACGAGATTTTGTCAAGACATGTTGTTACGAGGATAATATTTGCGATAGAGATAATATTGATGGTCTGTGTTTTTGAAAAATAAAATCCTTGAGAGAGAGAAAGAGAGAGAGAGAGAGAGAGAGATTATTCAATGAATCACAAAAATTATTCAAATGTTATTTATAATTTCAGAACACACAAAAATTATCGATCGACAGATATACACATCTTTTATTATTATTTATTATTATATATCCACCATTAACAATATTTCTTTCTATTAAATAGTAGTTTATTAATACGAATATATATATATATATATTTTTTTTTTTTTTCAAAATAGATTATAGCAAATAAATGTGTTCTTTGCAATGTATAAGAACGGATGCCGATCGTTAAAACCCGCGTGCATCGTCGTCGTCGTCGTCGTTGTCGTCGTTGTCGTCGTCGTCTTGCAAATCTATAAAACTCGTACCCTCCAATAAAAGTACGAATGGCAAATGCGCAAAAGCGATCATGTTCCTTGTTTAAATAGTTTCCAAGAAACATTTTATTGAAGAGAAACTTCTTGGCTCTTGAAGTTATATATTTGGATTTTACTGACGCTTTTAAGTGTCATTTCAATTTTGAATAGGATCTATGAAATGTGCAACCGTATATATATATATATACACTGTAGTACTATATATCATATTTTCTAATAATACATATATGCAAGACATTTACTTCTAAACGTATTATCGCTAAGTATCAAGGATAAGAATAATTTAAATATAGCTATGGATTATCTTCTCTTAATTGATTGATTGATTAGTCATTAGAATAGAAATCTAATAATGTTTACAAAAATAATTTGATATCCGGTTAGAATAAAAAGTAGCTGACCATAGATTTTTAATATATATCGACTGACAACATTTATCTTTGGTTTTATGTTTCTTTCATTTTAATAAATGACACGTTTAAATGACACTTTTCTTATGTTAAAATAAAATAATGGAAAAAGGATTGTGACACACCAAAAGGTAATTTTATTTATACATAAATATTTATTCGTTAATCATCATACGACCCAATTTGCTAGCAAAATTTCAAGCAATAAATACAAAGGACTAAGTCAATGAAATATTATAATATCGATTATATATATATATATATATATATAATACACATACATATATAGTCCGATAAATTTGTGAAACAATTTTGTTGTTCAATCAATCGATTGTCAATCTTAAAAATAATTATTTCGATTAGATCATTTTTATTTATCGCACGAATCGTATGAACGATTAAATTCTAACCCACCGTTTTTATAATTCGAGGAGTCGCATATTTTACTTAATAATAATCATCCTTAAAGTAAATAACATTATTATTTATATTACTTAACAAAACAAAAAACAAAAATATATATATATAGATATATAATTGATATTTAATACTAATGAGATCATCAGTCGTTAAGGGAACTAATGTCATTGGCAACTCGTAAACTAAGCTGACACATTGTTGTTGTTGCACTTGACAAGTCCATATACAATTATTTTACATTAATAAAATCTTTATTTAAGTCTTCCTATGTGAGATCACGTAACTAATCTCAAATTCAATCATTAATAACGAATGAAAAACTAAATTAAAAAAAAAAAAAAAAACAAAAAAATAATCAAAGTATTATCATCAATGAATCGAATGAATCACAAATTTTCTCACGTTACGTACAATTATTATTATTTTAATCATTATTATTTAACAATTAAAGATTGTTGTTCCTCAAGAAGTTCAACTCTTGATTATTAATTATTACTTGCGATTCACAAATTTCAAGTCTTCCAATGTTCTTCCTTTGTTATATTTTAAACTCATTCATTCATTCCCTAGTCTAGCCATGTTTTTTTCTTTTTTTCTTTTTTCTTTTTTTTTCTTTCGACTTGGTAAGTCTCAACACACTAAAAGAAAACTAGAAAGAAAGAAAGAAAGAAAGAAAAAAAA